TCTCAAATTATAATATTATTGCATTATTGCATTCATCTATATTATTCGTTATATCTCAGCACAGACACTACTTTTGCTACTGCAATCTCTTTGACACGAGCAATAAATCTTGTACAAAAAAAAATGACAAACGGACCAACGGCCTAGGACATAAACGAACGGCCGCACAGGTGTGGCCGACGACAGGGGCTTACCGATCCTCATAACCCTCCCGAATACACCTCAGATCAACCCCGCGTCACTGGACGCAGACAACCCATTGACGTGAACCAACGACGTCAGATCTATTCATTTCCCAACATTTCAAAAAATTTCAAAACAACGTTTCAACGCGATTCACGGTGTTCAAGGCATTATTCACTGATTCACATGCCGTATTCGATATGTGCAAGAATTTGTGCGCTTAGAATGGCGAACACAGAGCGGATGTCTACTCTACAGCTGCGACGTAACATTGACAGTCCCAGACAACTGCTATTGTTCGATTATAAAAAAACTCTTGCCTCCCCATGCGCACAGCCTGACCCCACTGACAACCCCCCCCTGCCCCGCCTGACTTAACAAAGGCATCCACTGACAGGCATTCAACACTCACCTGCAGGCTCTCTTCTTCTATCACCAGCCTCTCTTGCCACATTCTTCTCTCTCTCTTCTCTCTATCTCTCTCTCTCTCTCTCTGCTCTCTCTCATCTCTCTTCTCTCTCTCCTCTCTCTCTCTCTTCTCTCTTCTCTCTCTCTCTCTCTCTCTCTCTCTCTCTTCTCTCTCTCTCTCTCTGCGTCTCTCTCGCTCTCTCTCTCTCTCTCATCCATCTTCTCTCTCTCCTTCTTCGTCTCTCATCTCTACTCTCTCCCCATTCTCTCTTCTTCTCTCTCTCTCTCTCTCCCATTCTACTCTCTCCTCTCTCTGCTCATTCTCTCTCTCTGCTCATTCTCTCTCTCTCATTCTCTCTCCTCAGTTCTCTCTCTCTCTCTCTCTCTCTCTCCTCTCTCGTCTCTCTCCTCTCTCTCTCTCTCTCTCTCTCCTCTCTCAATTCTCTCTCTCTCTCTACTCTCTCTCTCTCTCTCTCTCTCTCCTACTCTCTCTCTCTCTCCTCGCTCTCTCTCTCTCTCTCTCTCTCTCTCGCTCTCTTCTCCTCTCATCTGCCCCTCTTTCCGATTTCTCCATATATCTTTCTCTCTTGCTCTCCCTCTCCTACTCTCTCTCTCTCCATTCTCACACTCAGTTTTTAACCCATCATCCCTCTCCCTTTTCTAGCTTCCCATTTCTTCTACAAATCTGCACATGTTGCACCAATTATTATGTAGCAGCACATTTGCAGCAGAATGAAATTAGTTAAAGATATCCCTACTGAACTCTCGTCTAATTGATTGCGATAAAAAAATCTCAATTGTAGTCAATCCTATATACTACCACAATGTTGAAATGGATTCTGTGCCACATTATAGTTATGATTGGTCAGTATTTCTAGACGATCCTATGTGCATGATGCTACATCAGAGATATTAATGCTTAAGTAATCATATCAATGTCTTTGCCATAATCGTTTTGATATCGTTCTTTTATGTATATCATCTGACTTTAGCTAGAGACATAGTATAATAGTACCATTTAAAATCACGCCGAATACCTTTGGCGAATACTGAACTGATATCAGTGCCATCCACTATGAACGCATAATGTATACCATATTTCCCTTCTCAACAGACCTATGAATTCATGAAAATCACACAGCGTTCTTCCGCCTCGAATAGTCCTGCTCAAAACACTGACCCAGCGCCGTAATTCCAACTGACAGTCGAGTGTAGGCGATCACTACCTCGACAGCATGTTCCGTGATTCTTCACTTCGACTCTGTGGAGTCTGCAGCGGACTTCGTCGAATAGGGACTCGGTGGCACTTAGGTGGCTGCGCGGATGCGAAGCTTCCGTTGGCGGGAGAATCATGGGCGCGGCGAATGCAGCGAGTTGATGAGGCGGAGCTCTTGTAGCACTCGCACTGGGTGGGACGCCGACGAGATGCGTGACCTGAGAGAGAAAATTGAAAACAAATAAAATTTCATTACGTTAACACGAAATACAAAGATCATAGATTAATTAGTACATGGACTCTTTCAGTTTTTACGCACGTTCACAACAGACATGGATCAAAATAGATGGCATGAAGAACTGATGGGTGCTCTATCTGATATATGCAATATACAAGTGCAGGTAGTGCATACATTGTCGGCCTGCCCATGCATGTGCATATGTATTACGTGTATGCATGTGGTGTGTGGTGCGATGTGTGTTTGCTGTGGTGTGTGTGTGTATTATAGCGTTACCGTGTCGTGCATGCGTATCACGTCATGCATTTGGTTTTACGCCCTATAATTATAACAAATAAATAAATATGAAATTTGATTATACAGCTGGATAGTTTCATAAAATCATTGATAACGTACACCATAGACATTTGTAGTCATAATCTGCAAACCACTTTGTTTGTTCATAATGACAATTACTGTTCGGAAGCAATCGGCCCCCATGAAAGGTGAGTGGTCTACAATATATGGCTGAATTAAACACCAAATGCAGTTATAATACTATTGACTCTGTCGATAAACCTACATTGCTACACATCTATACCTTGCGCAGCACGCATTGAAATGAGCCCACCTTGTAGTACTGTCAGCTATACTCCCACACACAAATCACACGACAAAAGAAATGTTAAAAATATGCTATAAAATTATGAATACAAATAAAGCCGTCTAATGTAAAGCTAAAGCCTTCTATTGAGACATGCTGCCGAGACCAGCTGTGTTAGAAAGCCAATTTCTGCTTGTGTGCCTCTGTGATTGGACGAGCGTAAATGAAGAGGACAGGACGAGATGACTTTACCACATTCATTCACTCTTTGATTCCCTGTTATATAAACAATCAAGAGCTAATAATACCTACCTAATAATACCTAGGTATTATTAGCTCTTGAAACAATTCAAATGTATAAAATGTTATCTATAGAGCTCTCACTTCCGTCCCCCACCCCACTCGCCCAGCTCCTCCCTCTCTCTCTGAGTCTCCCTCTCGATATGTCGACAGAGAGAGAGGGGGGAGCGAGGGAAGAAGGGAGAGAGGGAGAAGGAGAGAGAAGAGAGAGAGGGGGAGATGAGCGAGTGAGCTAGAGAGAGAGGGGAGGGGGGTTGAAGGAAGAGTAAGCGAGCAGCGAGAGAAAGCGTGAGAGAGGCAGAGAGAGCTAGAGATGTAGAAAGAGATAGAGATAGAGATATAGATAGAGATAGAGAGACAGAGATGTTTATAGCGACTGTATCACATACAATTATATCAGCCAGCATCTGCCCCATCCCCGCATAGTTGCACATGTGTCCTAGCCCTCTATGCCCAGTGCCTCACTTTTTTTGTCAGTAATTTACCTGAATTGAGACTTTACCTACAGATCAATTAGCCTTATTAGGCTAAGTAATTTCTCGAGTAGTTTGTTGAGAAGTTGATTCAACAAAGGATTACTATAATTCAGAAAGCCCTATGCATGATTTGTGACTACGATTATGAAGTAAAACCAGCATTAGGTATTGCCTTCCAGACTTACTGTATGCACTCTACAATGAATATAACTACACAATAGCTTAGGGAAACAGCTTATGGTATTACAACCTTTACACGTGGCTAAATACTACACAGGTGTAACGTAAGTACTTACAAGAGTTTGCCCACTTAATTAACAATCAGCCATTGTGGAACAATCAGCCTATTGTTAGATATCTAGACAATAAGCAGCTGTTGCATACAGACATTGTGCCTGGTAACGCGTGCAAGAATCGCAGCATGAAATTCACAATACAGCCTACACGTCATATTTTAAAGTTACTCTTGCTGAGTACTCTAGCTGTTATACTGTTAGTACTCGCGATCATATAGGCACACTCGATCACAGGCACTTGGAGCGTTTCAATAAAATATAATGCTAAATAAATGCGAAATCTATTTGCTACCAAAGTCTTAATGTTTCTCTACTTACTTCACCTATTATTGCAGAAAATTTCCTGTAAATGTCGTGCAACTGCTCCTCTGCAACACACATGTACACCGCACGCACGCTGCCACAAACTGACACATGCGGTGTACATGTGTGTTGCAGAGGAGCAGTTGCATGGCATTTACAGGAAATTGTCGGCAATAATAGGCGAAAGAGATTAGAGAAACAGACTTTGGTAGTAAATAGATTTCGTATTTATTTAGCATTATATTTTATTGAAACGCTCCAAGTGCATGTGCACTCGATCATGATTCACCACCAAATTTATAGTTTTACATCACAGGAAGCGAGCAATTATCCCACGATACAATCACAGGTTACTGCTCGACTAATGCCTTTTGTTATTTGTTATCTTTAATTAATTATTGTTTACTTTATATTGTTTTTTATTCAATCGTAATTGAAAAAGAAAAAACATCCATCTTTACGGTTACCATACAGAATTTCCATGTGTGTATCCGTCCACACGGAAATAATGTATACCTAGGCTATATGCAAACAAATTTCATCCCATTCTTCGGATGTAGAAAATAAGGATAATCGGCGTTACTGTACTACCTACACGGCACACCCCATACATGTACATGCGTTCACACTGACACTGCTACACCAGTACTACTACTAGAGATCGATCAGTGGTGGACCTAGAACGGGGTGGGGGGGGGGTCCACCCCCCATTCAGCAACTGACTAATGTTATGATACTAGTAAAATAGGGCCAAAAATAAAAAAGTCAGTCTGCAGGCTGATAGAAACTGGGGATTTTACCTGTGCCCACACAGCTGCCTGAACTGTCAGATCCGCTGAGAGGGTCTATGTCCCCCAGGGTACTGCCGGAACGTACCCTGGGT